AAGTTGTCCGCAAACATGTTCGTAGGTGGGTGGGGGGGGGGGGGGCGGAGGGGGGAGGTGGAGGGGTAGAGAGAGAGAGAGAGAGAGAGAGAGAGAGAGAGAGAGAGAGAGAGGGAGAGAGAGAGAGAGAGAGAGAGAGAGAGAGAGAGAGAGAGGGATGGAGGGAGCCCAAGTCTCCAAATGTCCGAAATGCGAATGAATCTCTGTGAGAACGCGGGAAGATGCATTCTTGTTTTGCACATTTGGAGAGCGTGGCCCGCCGCTCTCCAAATGTGCAAAACGAGAATGAATCTTTCTGCGTTCTTGCGAAATATTCATTCTCATTTTGCACGTTTGGAGAGCATGGGCCGCTACTCGCCAAATGTGCAAAACGAGAATGAATCTTCCCGGGTTCTCGTGGAAGATTCATCTTCATTTTGCACACTTGGAGAGCCGCTTGCCCTCTCTCTCTCTCTGCCCGTGTGCGGGCCGTGTGCCCCCTCTCCATCACTCTCTGTGCATGCACGCAGGCCGCGCTTGCCCTCCCTTCCTCGATCTCACTTGAAAATGGAAGAAAGTCTTATGCTACTATTGAAACGGTTTTCACCTTTTCGCAGTCACAGATGCGGATCCCAGGGCTCGATCCCCAGACCTTACCTTGCCTTACCTTACCTGTGTACAGTATCAAGTCGACCTTGTGTGTCTTGAACCCGTGACTTAGTAGTTGGAAGTTGTCTGTCGTAGGTCTGAGTAGTTGTCGGGTCTTGAACCTTAGACCTGTCGAAGTAGGGGTCATACCTGCATAGGGGTCATAGTTGTTGTAGTTCTGAAAGGTCAAGGTCGTAGCTTCTACAGTCCTGAAAGGTCAAGGTCGTAGCTGCTACAGTCCTGAAAGGTCAAGGTCGTAGCTGCTACAGTCCTGAAAGGCCAAGTCCGCAAACTTCCGGAAGGTCCGGAAGTGGCCTTTTAAGAGTTTCTACGTTTGGCAAGAGGCATGTGAGCAAGTAGGCAGTCCAACTTTGTCTAGTCAGCTGTACCCGGTCCCAGTCTTACTTTGTCCAGTCAGCAGGTACCATGTGGGACTGTGTGCACCGTGGGGCCGGTGGAAAGAGGCAGACCAGCGGCCTACATAAGTATATATCAAGAGGCAGCGTCCAGCTATTCATTCATTCCTGCGTGAGGTATGCGGAAGCGCTGCCGTAGCGTCTTGTGCGAGGTGGTCTGCAGATGCCTGTAGTGGAAGTGGGCTGAGGAAGGAGCGGAGCAGCCATCGCTGCTAGTAGTTGAGGTAGATGGCGGCCATAGCCGCCATAGCTAGCGATAGGTAGTAGAATGTGTGTATGTACGTGTGTGTGTGATGCAGCGTGAGTGTGCGTGGGATATCCAGGGAGATCGAGAGTCGAGTGCGTGTGAACAGTTGCGCGAGTACAGTGTCGGACAGATGTTGTGTGGGCGCTCATGCGCCATAGCCAATTGGAAGCGAGTTTGTATCTGAACTGTATTCTGGGCCGTGTTATCTCTGAGCTTTGTGTGGGCGCCTGGCACCAGTGTGTCTCACCATCTCTTTGCATGCATGCGAAGTGAGAAGAAGCAAGTCTGATTGCACTATTTAAATTCTTAACTAAAAAAGTCTAAAAAAATAAAATAAAATGTTTGCTTCCGCCTGCGAACGCCTGGCCAATGCGAACACCGTGCTACACAGCTTTACCACAATTTGTACCGCATTTTTTACTGCATTCTTTACCGCATTCTTTGGAGGCCGGGCGCCACCGGACCACAATGGCTGGCTCTTCGGCAAAGCTTGGTGCATGGTTCTAGTCCACCTTGGCAAAAAGTGGCGCGGAGGTAGTGGTGGTTTAATTGAGGATGATGAGGATGGCTGGATTTGATCTCAATTCACTTGTGAATTGTCATTCCTTGCATGGTTGTGTGTTTGTCATTTAGGTGGACAATCGACACCAAGTACTACAGCGTTGATGTCGATGTCGCTGTCGCTCGAACGGATGATGGGCACGTCAATAAAGATGGGGAAGCTGTGCTGCCCTGGAACTGCGAGGCTCTTGTGATGGTCTTTGACTTGAGTAAGGTCAGTATGGGCTAGTCAAAGGACTCAAGTCAAAGTCCCCTTCAAGTCGAAGGGGACTCAAATCAAAGGATTCAAGGCAGGTTCACTCCTTTTATTGTAACTCAGCTCCATGTATGTGGACTGTAGTACAGTGGGCCAGATACAGTTGTATGGGAGGGATGAGGGAGGTAGAATGGGATTCTCACTGAAGAGGGCTCGGTCTACTACATAACATTTTCCGTGTGCGTGGAGTGCTGACTGGATCAGATACATGTGAGCTTGTGTTCCACCATTTTGAATGGTTAGGGACCATTGATAGGTCCAGGTACATTTTGAATGTCGCTTCATCTTTAGCCAAATGTATCTGGCCCGGTGAGCAGTCCACATACATGAAGAATGTTCTCTAGGAGGGAGTGGAAGTTAAACACAGCCTTTGAGCAAAAAATGTTATTTTGGGTTATCGCTTCATCTTTATCCAAGCTTTGCTGCTTGGCCCAGTGTACAGTCCACCATTTTGATGACCAGATACATGACTCAGTGTACACTGGGTTCTCGTTTCATCTTCAGCCAACCTTTGGTGCTTGGACGGGACGCACCCACCTGCCCCCTTTCCATGGCTACGTGCATCATGATTTGATGACCAACTGCCAGAAGAAAGAAGCTGGCCAGTAGTGTACAGATGACTCCATGCACGTCGACTGCAATCAAGGCCAGGTACCTTGGGCTCTTCTCAAAGTAGACATAACTGTAATTTACTTTCTCTGTCGTCGATTTCTGCAAATGATGCCCTTTGTGTGTGTATAGCTGCTTCTCTGTTCCGTTGCTTACCGTGGATGACACTACCGTCTTCACCCGAATCGAATAGAACGCCTGGTCATTGTAGCCATATTTGTTGCACTTTTCAGTCCACATACAGCGATAATGACCGGGCATTTTATTCGGGTGAAGACGGTAGGCTATAGCTGCTGTGTGACAAATGGTTCGGTCGCAAATTGCAAGATGACACAGCTAGTTCGGTCACGACTTGCAATACAAATATCGCTAGTTTGCTCATAACGTGCGAGTCAACACGATAGGGGGATAGTTTGGTCACAACTTTTTGCAAGACAATTTTGATTTTTTTTTTTTTTTTTAACAAACCAGAATCTCTTTATTATTAATATGAACGAAAGGAGGGCGGGAAACCGTCCAACAACAACCCAGAGAAACTTTTGGGGATGGGGGATTATGGGGGGAGGGTATGGGAGGGTATAGGGGGGGTAAAGAGGGTGTATAGGGGGTATTGGGGGGGGGGGTATGAGGCTTGGAGGTGTTGAGGGGGGGGGGTGGGGGGGTAATGGGGGTGTTGATGGGGTTATTGCCACTTATTGGAGGTTATGGACGCCGATGACTTTTTTTTTTTTTTTTGTGGGGTGCCGCCGACCGCCGACCAATCAAGGCTGGCCGACCGTCGGCTGTCCTACTCTGGATGATGTTATGGCTAGTCTGGTCACAACATGCAAGTAGATACGATATGGCTATTTTGGTCACAACTTGTAAAACCATATGGCTAGCCTGGTCACAACATGCAAGTCGACACGATAGAATATGGTTACCTTGGTCACAACTTGCGTGACAATATGGTTAGTTTTTTTGGTCACAACTTTCTGCAAGACTGTCTTGGGTCACAAATTGGGTCACAAATTACAGGGTGATATCACTGACATGGCTGGTTCGGTCACAACTCGCGAAGGGCAATATTGCAAGTCGGCCAGCGATGGACAATCATACTTGCTCGCTTTTCTTGTGCTTGCTGTTGCGTTGACAAGCTGACTAATTTGGAAAAATGCCTGCTCGGCTCGGACTGCGCGTCATGTCGTCATTGTTTCTCCCATCAGCCTGCAACCTTCGCATCAATTCAATCGTGGGCGTCGACAATCGATCTACGACGGTTTGAGATTCTGCTTTGTATTGGGAACAAAGCCGATCAAGTCCACGCTAACGACAACGAGACGCGGGGCGACGACCGATCCGGATCGCAAAGTGGAACGCTAAATCCCCCGGGTCCGAGCACTACCAGCAGCTCAAATGAGGCGGCGCCGCCAGTTGAGGCCAGGCTGTCGGCAGGATCGGCATCCTCCGCCATGCCTCTCCACTCGTCTTCGTCAATGGGAATCAGCACGGCAACAATAAGCTCCGAGACTCCGGCAGAGTACGGAGCGCCCGTGTACTTGGATTGGTGCTCGAGCAACTGCATCGAATATGTTGAAGCGTGCGCTGTCGACGAGGTATTTGACAAAGGTCAGTGGACGACTCCGTTCCATTCCCTTCATGATTTTCTTCTGAAACATGGGTCTTCGCCGTCTTCTTGACCGTTGAATGCATGTCGGCATTATCGTATATGATGGAAAAAACGTGTGCTTTTGTATGCCGATCCTTTCATGGCGTAGTGTGCACGTTGCAGTGTGAAACCGCTTTATGATCTTACTGACGGTTAGTGCGCCATTCACAGCTGTCTGTTGCAGTATGACAGAACTCTGTGTCTTATAATCAATCACTGGATGCATGCACTACGCGACATGCACAGATTGCCATAGTGCACCTTATGGTAACTTTTTTGTTACCAAGGGCTCAGTAGACCCTATGGTAACTTTTTTGTTACGTAAGGAGGGTTGACTTGTATCTTCTCTGAGCCACTGGGTTTTGCCGCTGGAGCTGTCAACATTAATTTTTCGTGCCAAAAAAAAAACAAAAAACCAAACCAAAGGTGACAGGTCCAAAACATAACCCTTGGGACTCTAATAAACCCCTTTCAACCCCTGTAAAAACCCATGTATACCTCCCCTCCCCCCCCCCCCCCCTTTAAAACCCATAACTATTAAATACTCCCTCGACACGGCCCTCTGCCCGTGGCACATTCAAATATAACGCCATTATACACATCTAGATGTGTATAAGAGACAGGTGCGCGCGTCGTGCGCTGTGAGCGGTGCAGTGCATGTTGATGCGCCACATGTATGATACTACCTCCACAAGGCACTCTGCCCATGGAACATTCAAATTTAACGCCCGGGCGTTCTATTTGAATATAACGCCTGGGCGTTATATTCGAGGGGGCATTCTATTCGAAAAAAAAAAGTGAGTAAAAGGTTACTAAAAACAAAAATCTGATTTTTTAAGGGTACGTTGGATATAACGCCCAGGCGTTATTTTCCGGTGAACACAGTAGTCTAAAAGGGCCTGTACGGCTACACTACCACCTCTTCACTTGGGGGGTCAATTCCAATGTCTGGAAACGAAAAATAAAGTGAAATGGTTTGGGGGTTCAATTCCCACTCTGACCCAACATGATCCATTCTTGGGACCATCTGTCCAGTTCCAGTTCCTATTCTCAGGGCAACGACAAGTCGGGAAAAAAAAAGACAAATACTCAAAATTAAGAAATCAATATAAATTATAATTCATAATATACACACTCTTGACATCCAGTGTTCTTTTCATTATTCTTTTTTTGCTGTTGTTTTTAATTTTCCATTTCTCTTCTTCTATTTCTAGCTAACTTTTTCTTGCTGTCGACGTCCTGTGCACCTGTTTGGGTATCTGTCCTCCTGCACCGGGACCGTCTACATTCACTGAGAACAGCCATACAGATCGATGGATTTGGCCAGGGTGTGGGTCGGATTCGTAATGCATTATCAGCCCATATGTGGCCCGGAATGCGGATGAAACCGCTCCCAGGGCGGGAAGAGATGGAGATGGCTGCAGCAGCTCTATCAGGTCTGACCACTAATGATCAGCAACCTCAAGGTAACAATACTCCCCCTTTTTTTTTTCCTGTGTGTCACAGTGTGTGTGTGTTCCCTCTGTTTGTGCTCCGGCGCGATCTGCATCTGCTGGAGTGCGGCATCGATGTGGGTGTGTTCCCTCTGTTTGTGCTCCCGCGCGATCTGCATCGGCTGCAATGTGGCATCGGTACAGCCTCTCCCTGCCTCCTTCGTACCGACTGCTAATGAATGTATAGAGGCTATCTTTTGGGTGCGGTGCACAGGTGTAATAAGGGTGTGTTGTGTTCGGGGGAAGAGGGTAGCTTCACGGGCCTGCTCGGCAAAATGGAGGAGATATTATTGTCTCAGTAACGCAGACTTGTGCGTGGCCGGCAGCCGCCGCACTACTGGAGAGCCTGATGAGTGCAGCGGCTTGTTGGACGCAACGCGTGGCTGTCTGTTGTTCTGTGAGCCCAGACTTTCCTTTTTTTCCTTAAACTTCGATCATACTTCTCTGAGGGGATGATCACATGAGGACTTTTGCGGCCGTAGCGGGCCGCTTTTACGTCCGGGCCTGGATGAACCCGACCACAATTACGTCCAGGGATGAGTTGAAAAAGTCCTAGTGTAAGATAAGAGAAGCCTCGTTCCCGTTCGTTCTCTTACCACCACGGGACAGCAGGACTTCACAGGATGGTGTGTGTGTGTGTGTGTGGATGGTGTGTGTGTGTGTGTGTGTGTGTGTGTGTGTTTAATAAAGAAAAAGAAAAAAGAAAAGAAAAGAGAAGGAAAGAAAAGGAAAGAAAACGAACAAAAATGAAAAAAAAAAAAAAAAAAAAAGAAGCCTGCCCTGAAATAGTTCTGTGGAGCTTTTTTTGAGAAGAAAATGCAGTTATGGGTGGGATAAGGCGGTGCGCCCTTCGACAGAGAGGGGATGTACTTAATCAGCCACAACACTAGTGTGTGAACACTATCGGTCATCTGTCTGCCTGCCTGTCTGTCCGCCTGCCCGCTGCTACTCCTGCCTGTATGCCCGCTTGCCCTGCTGTTCTTTGTACCCGATTGAATCGCAATCCACAATGAGATGGAACTGGCGCTGCTGCCACTTTGCGTCGACCGCCAGGTCGAGAAGCTTTCCAAATGTCTGGAGGAGTACTCACCACGTTGCCATACACGCATGCAGTCGCAGAGCGCAGACTGGAGGGGGGAAATCCACAAAACCCGAGTGAGATATGCAGCGAAAGCACCGTACACACCGAAAGAGCTGAATTGCGAATTCCGATTCGAAGTTATCTCCCGTCCTCCTCCAATCAATCACAGATACTTTTATTCCAAGAATCAAATCACAACCGCCTCACAACGACCTCGAACAACAGCAAAAAACACGAGGTCGTTGTAACGAATGTTTTGGAGTAGCCTTCTTCTTCCTCCTCGCCACCTCATCGCCCTGGCTATGGCTGCCATAAAAAAAGCAGCAGTGCTAGAGATCCGAGCGATCACCCCGGAGCCAATCTGCAATCTGATCTAGCCCCCCCTTTTTAATAGCAGCGCCAGCTCAGTGCCCGCATGAAAGTGCAGTGCTAGAATTTGTGGCAACAGCAGCACATGGCAGCGCGTTTCACTACCACAGGCAGATGAGGGTGAGAAGAAGGGAGAGGAGGAGGAGGAGGAGACGAAGCAAACAGGAAGGGGAAGGAGGAGGAGGAGTAGGAGGAGGAAAAGATGAAGAGAACAAGAAGGGGGGGGAGGAGGAGGTGGAGGAGGAGGAGGAGGAGAAGAAGACGAGGAAGAGGACAAGAGGTGAAGAGGAAGAAGAATCTAAGGAGACCACAATTTGTGGCACAGTAGCACGTGGTAGCGCATTTCACGACCACATGCGGATGAGAGTGACAACAAAGGGGAGGAGGGGGAGTATAGGAAGAAGAAGAGGAGGTGAAGAAGAGGAGGAAGAAGAGGAGGAGGAGACGAGGTGAAGAAGAAGAAGAAGGAGAAGGAGAAGAAAAAGAAGTCAAGAAGAAGAGTCGTCGTCGTCGAGGTGAAGAAGGAGGAGGAGGGGTATTTTGTATTATCCGTTCAAAAAAACCCAAAAGTCTTTTTCATGCCCATTTCCACAGCTCTGTGAGATTGCGATGTTGTACACTAAAAAAAGGGAGGGAGGGAGGGAGAGAGAGAGAGAGAGAGAGAGAGAGAGAGAGAGAGAGAGAGAGAGAGAGAGAGAGAGAGAGAGAGAGAGAGAGAGATCTGTTGGATTCAGAATTTTAGTTGTTTTGTATCGTTGATCCATTTTTTGTTCTGTTTTTTCTTTTTGTAATTGAAAACTAGTAAACAGGCTATCCGCTGATCCTTTTTGATAGGTTAAGGKGGGTAGCGAAAAAAAAAAAAAAAAAAAAAAAACCTTGGAGAGGGTCGTCCTTCACATAATTCAAAAGCAGATGTCCAAAGTGGTATGCTTTTCCAGGTTTTCAATTTTTTATTTTTATTTTTTTCCCCTCTTTTTTCTCTTCTCCCCCCCTCTTCCCCCCCCCTTTTTTTTCC